TATTCTGTGGAAGTATCCGGTCACAGTTTATGCATTGCATGCCATTTATGCAGTTCAGCCCATGAAAAATACATGAAGAGTCCCTTGCTCTTTCTCCCCACGGCCTCATAAATCTTGCATCGCTTTCTGCACGGCAGCTTGGCTTCACAGGGTGATGGGGAGCAGCCTCCCCGCTGCTCCTGCCCTGGGGCCGGAGCATCCTCTGGGGATGCTGGCACTACAGGCTCGAACCCTGCCAGGCTGGCAGAGGAGGGGGAGTGTGTTGGTTTGGAGTCCCACCAGCCCTGTTTTTAGGTTATTAGATAGGAAAAATAAGACAGAGGTGCTGTTTTGCTGCCCTGCAATGTCGCCAGCACTGGGGTCATCTTGCTTTGCAGTTTGTTTCAGGTTTACTGAAAACAAGAGTGAGGCAAAGAATAATATTACTCTGTTTGCACCTTTTTAAGCACGCTCATAGTTGGCATTTGCGACTGCAGATGCAGCTGCGCATTTATTGTGGGACCAGCTGGAGGCTGTGCAGAAGAACCACCCAAAAAAATAAGCCAGGCACATGCTTAAAGACTTGCTTTGCAGGTAACGCACCCTACCTTTCTGAGCAGATACATTTATTAGTTGGTGGCCACAGGGTGCAAGTGCCTCTTCTCACACTGAGCCCAGTGGTGGAAAATGATAAGCAAACCCTGATTCAAGGTCTGTGTAAGAGCTGGTCCCAAACCAAGGCAGGCACAAAGGCACAAGTAAGTTGCCTAATTCCTTAATGCTCACTTAAAACAGAGCATTATGGAAGGAGTTTGCAGCCAGCTCTCATCTTTACTGGTAGCAGTAGAAAGTTTTGTCCACTTGCATCCTAATCCCCTTCTCCCTCCTGATCACGTTGGCTGAGGAACAGGGACAGGAGGCAGATGGTCTCATGGATGTATCTTCATGAGGGCACCATCCCCATTTCTATGGCAGCTGAAATCAGGGAGACCTTGTTAAACCCCCTTGTTCCTCAGGATTTTCACTTGCTTTCTTTAATTCCTTTTGTTTTGAAGCTACTGGAGGTGGTGACACTTCCCATTTTCCCCATGAGCCCAGCCTCAGCTGTCCAATGCCTCCACGTCACCTGCAAAGCTATTTTGCTTTCAGCTTCTTTAAAGAAGTTTCCTCATTTTTGTTTTCCCCTTAGCAGGCTCTCTGCCTCCATGAAGCTATCAAGGACGTTGCCTACATGGGGCGAGTTAATACTGTTTTTTCCCCTGTCCTCACAGCCCTCTGATCCCTCCCAGTCTCTGTCACCACCGTGTTCCCACAGCAGACAATCCCGGGCTGAATAAGAAAGCACAGCATGGGGACTAGCCTGTCAATCCAGAGAGATTTTATCCGAGTTGCTGACAACCTCAGTTTGCTAACCCAATTGACCTTGTGCTCCCTTCAATATCTACAGCAGCATTCCTCTGCTGTCCCAGCCTTCCGTGCCTTTCCTGACCAGGGTATGAGTGTACCACCCAGTGTCTGCTGTGGCTTCCCGTGACATCGGGAGAACCAGCATCCCCATCCTCAGCTCTCCCCTTTGTCCTTCAGCAGTGGTCACCTCGCAGGAGCCAGACGACGCTGGCTGCCCACCACCACCTCCTTTAGAACTTTCCCAGGCTGATCTTTTCCCCCATATCCCTCGGCATTTCCCATCCATGGTTTTTCTCACCTCTCTTTAAGGCTGGCCCACGCCCCTTTGCAGCATGAGGTTGCCCCCAAATCCATGAGGCAGGAGAGGAATGGGGTTGGGGATGTGGTGGCGGCCACTCTGGCTGATTATGCATCTGCTGGGGTTCCATCCCAAAAAAAAAAAATCAGAGGAAAAGAAAATCAATTCTTAGGGGAAAAATATCACAAAAATTGGTATTTCTGAGGAATGGTGTGGCCAGGGGCTGCTCTGGGGCTCGGTCAATTCGGCAGGTGCTTTGCCCCACATACCAGACTAAAAAGCAGATTTCCCCCCCAAAACAGAAACAGAACAAAGACAAACAGCCTGTAACAAAGTAGGATGCCTTCATGTTGGGTCTACATGTCTCCCTTGTCCCAGAGGCCCCTCTCTCCCCCAGGGACCACAAGATTAGCACCAAGGCTGTATTTAGGAGAGAAAAAATAAAGAGGATTTATTTATTCCAAGGGGGAAAATCCTGATGCTTTGTGGAAAGCCAAGGGGGCACGCGTGTGTGTGATCCACAACTGGATGTCGCTGTTAGTCAAAGGTTTTTATTTTTATGAAAAAATAGAAAATTTCATATCTTACACTACAAAAAAACCCATGTACACAAACAAAATGCACAGAGCATCCAAGGAGGTGGGGGGAGTAAAAGAGGAGGAATAAATACAGCAATGCTACAGTCTCCTATGGGTTAAAATGCTGATGCGAGGAGCCAAGATGGATGCTGCGGCTCTGGCAGCACTGGATGCACCAGCTCCCGCCCTACCTGCCCTAAGGAATTACAATAAAGGATTGAAAACTAAGCATTATTCTTAAGACTGCTACTGATATATGTTACACACGCCTTAATGACTAATTTCAAGACCACAGCAGTCCAAGGAGTCACAATTTCTTGACCACTGGGACTTCTACATTATGTTCAACACTGAATAGACAAAAAAAAAAAAAATTAACTTCATTTTTTGTTCTGTTTGCTATCAACATATAGAAGGACTAAATAAAATTTTAAACTGATTTTTTTTTTTCTTTTAAATCAGTCTTCCTTTTTTATGCTCAAATAACTTTACCAAATGGTAGCTACAGAATGAAAGCGGGACAGTCTACACAAGCCATGCTCAGGGACAAAACTATATTGAAAAGAGCCTTTTCACCTCCTAGACCATTTGAAATACCTTCCTTGCAGTTAGCAGCAAAGTATACTGGAACAAACAGTATTCGTTGAACCAGCCACAGCAGCAGCAAGCTGGACAAGCAAAGCACTCAGACTTGCCATCGGCAGAAAATCCACACACAGCCCTTACAAAGAGCACAATCACTGAAATATTACTGTCATGTTCTGCTGCTGCACCCCAATATATATACGATCATGCCCAAAATACAGAGTACTCGTAGTTCTTGGATGGGAACTGAAAACCTCCGTTGTCTCTGGTATTTGCTCGTGGACATAGAAGCTGTAATTTTTGGACCCTGCTCATTAAAACACCATTTTATTTTATTTTTAGCTCTGAGACAAAGCCTATTATACAGAGATCTGTAGCAAGAACAGCTCTTGAAATAAATAGAAAAGGTTATTTATTTATTTATTGAAGGAACTGAGAAGAGGCGCCCTATTTACAAATGCAGTCTGGCTTAAGAACAGTTTGTTTTCCACTAGTTCGTAATTTTGAAGGTAACTCCAGCACCTGGTATGCATCCCAGCCGTACCACATACACCTTTAAAACCCCACAAATGGTGAAAAGGGGATTTTGCTGTTAAACGTCCATGAAAAAAGACCAAACCCAACTCCTCCCGCAGCCAACAGGTAAGGAACGAGCCGAGATGATGGGCAGAAAGGGCTGCATATTTGCTAATAGCATCTCTCTCGGTGCGGCCGATGGATGCAGGCGGCGAATGAACAATTTCTCCCGATGAACCAAGTTGTTTCTGTCTTCCTATGGGTTATTTTCCCAAGTGCTGCAGGCAGGGAAGCACAAATAATCCCAAGACAGTACTGCTGACAGCTCTAATAATCTTATTTATTATATGACAAATCTCTTTTATGCGCCGAAAGTGTTATGTCTTGATCCCCCCCTCCCCGCTCCTTTGTGGTCTGGTGACTGCCAAAATGAAACAACAGGATGAGGAATCACACCATCAAGATTTGTCAGACCTCACTGCAGCTCCTCTCCCTCCTTTTTCTCCCGATTCCCGAGGAGCTTGGCAGCAACTCGCAGAGAACGGGGAGGAGGTGATTTCAAAACAGGCAAATACTGCGCGAAGAAGCCCTGGTCTCTCCTCCAGACCTTTCCCTTTTCCTTAGAAACTGTTCTTTCTCATCCAAAGGCTTGGGGGACATGGAAGACAGACCTTTGAACCAGCTGAAGATGGCATTCACCTGCTTCTGCAAAATGTGAAGGACACGCTTTGGGCACTGGATGAGCTCCTTGGGCTCAGCTCTGCAGAGCCGGGGACAAAGGGAGCTGCGGCAAGTCAGTATATTGATGTTATCACCAAGGAAGGATGCTACAAGATGCTACCCAACCTCTAAAGAAGCAATATATATACAAAAACAGCAAACACTTGCCATCTGCTGAGCCATTTTTAAATCCTTATCTTTACGAAAACCTTCACAAAAAAAAAAAAAAAAAAAAAAGCTCAACCTATGAATACCAAATTAATTGTGCTGAATAATCCTATCTACAACAAAAAGAGGAGGACAGCTCCAAATTGTTTCTTGGTGGGATTTCACGGGGATTGGGTTGCCCTCAGGTCCCTCTGAAAACAGCAGCTGTGAGCTTTAATGGACATATTGAACCCCAGCCACAACTAAGTGCTGACCTGAGCTGTGCCAGTCCCAGATGGATGGCACCTTCTCTCCCACGGATGCCACTGCTGTGACCACATTGGGCTGCTCTGCTCTTCCCTCCTCTCTGTGCTCTGCCCCAAAGTGGCCAGGTCCATCCACAAACCAAAAATGCCCAGAGAGACAACCTGTGACACCACAGTTCCCAAAATAATCCCACCATCACCACCCCTTTGGGGGAAATAGTGCAAAATCTCCATGCTGGATGACCACGGGCTCGCCTCCACACTGCACCCCAGGGCTTAACCCCCAGAATGAGAAGAGGAACAGCAAAATCCCTTCCTTCCAGCTAAAACCACCTTGTGGTTTCTCTCCTGGGCTCCAGCGACAGGGGTGAGGGCTGCACTGGGTGATGGCTACTGGGCTGAAATGCTGCTCCGGAGGCAATCCCATGCTGTCTTTGAGCAGGACTCATATACATGGTAACCGATGCCACGTTGTTGCTGGAGGCCACCGAGAACCAGATGTTATTACTTTTCTTCTTCTGGATGTCCCCAGCCCATGGTGGAAAGGAAGAGGGGGTGATGCCTTTTATTTAAGCAGACTCCCTCTACCTCATATACGCAACCAAAATTCCTGAAGGTTTTATATGTTGCTCAAACCAAACAGCAGCAAAAATACAAAGCATAGCAGTAACAGAAAAGGGAAACAAAACAAAGTAAAAGAGGAGGGGAAAAAAAAAGAACAAATCAAGGAAAGAGCCCCGATCTTGTACCTGATGCGTAGCAAACTGTACAGTATATACATCTCTGTCGTGTATTATCCTCCCAGAAAAGCAAACGAAAAGAACTTGGTAACACAGAGGGAGGAAAAAAAATATACACCCTGTATTGTATTTGCCATGGAGCAAGCAACATGTTTATACACTAGTCTCTATAACTTAATGCTGTGTAACAGCATTTTTTTCTTTTCTTTAAATTTACAAAACAAAATATCTATCGAGAAATAATCTAATCATATTGCTCTTCAATACACTTCTGTAGACAAGTAAGACTCGAAGTTAAACTTCAGTAAACCGCAGCTTTTGGGAGCCCACGAACGGCTACAGAACTCCTCCACTCAAGTCAGTCCTTGGAAGTATTACCATGTGCTGCTGTAATTCAGTATATAAAAGTGCTATATATATATCTATCTATCTCCCATGTACAGACAACGTGTGGTGGGAAGGCTTGTTGTTGTAGTCGCTGAAGCTTAAGAGACGGGTTAGCCTCATGTACAGCAGATTCGTTTCCATGTTCCATGCATCTTACATTAACTTCATGAAAATGAGGATACAAATAGGAAGAAAAGGAAAACTTCAGTCAAACACTGCTTTAGAAACACTGCGGCAGAGGCCAATGTCCTTCAGTTATAGAAACCACTGAATTTCCCTTTTTATCTTTTCTTTTTTTTTTTAGTCAAAATAAATCTCAGGGCTAGTGTACAAAGTGCAGGACTGACCCACTTGAGGAAGCAACTTTAAAACCAAGTTACAATGGCACCATCCCATTCACCAACTGGACCTTCATCTCCTGAAGGCTGTTCATTATCTTCTTCTGGTGACCAACAAGTGTCACTCCCAGCCGCCTCAAATCCCTGTGGGAGAAAGCAGACGTTGGTTCCAGGGACCGCTCAGGCACACGCCGCCGCGCACACCACGCGCCGCACGCGCTGCTGCTGCTGCCAGCGCCTACCTCTTACCATGGGCAGCTCCCAAAGCCAAGTTTAGTTGGCAAGTTTAATTTCCCACATTTTTTGTTTTATTAAATCATTTAATGGCTGACAGTATCTCAGAGAGGTGACATGATTTGACCAAGATCACCTCACTGGCCAAGGAGAAAAGCTGGACAGCAAAGTGTCAGCGTCACCTTTGGCCAAGGACTCTGCTATGCATGAAAAGTCCTACTTCCAAGAGAAAAGCCATGTAAAAAAGCCTGTGTTGCAGTTTCCTCTTCTCCTGGGAGAGGCTGGTATTTGATCCCGGATACGAGCAGTGAGGAGTGAGGTCAATCCATGGTTCCTTCCTCTTCAGACTACGCAAAGCCTAAGATACACAAACTGCAACCCTAGAGCCAGTTCCTACTGAGCGTTGAATGGCAAAAGCCTCGAGCATAGCCACCACCCCGATGACCCCCTAAAGTCAACAGGAATTGGCAATGCAGCTCCCCTCTGGGCCTTTGTAAATCTTCCTGTAAACCCACTTTTGGGTTTTTTTTGAGGGGTGAATTCTACAAGCCAAAGGCATTTGTGTTGAGTCTGTCTACTGGGCTGCCATTACAGGAAAGCTGTAAAATAAGATAGTTTATGAACTGCAGGATTAGGAGGAAAGATTGTTTTCTCAGCTCAGCCCTCTAAAATTTGGGTGTATAGATGAAGGAAATCACCAAGGTTGATGATGATGGAGTGAAAGAGTCACCTCCAGGGGACAACTTATCCTATACAAAGACAGGAGTGGGACAAGTCGTCCCCTGGAGATACTACAGCAGGACCCTCGTGTGATCAGATTTAATGACACATCTAGAGCCAGGTAAGACCACAGGTTATGGCAGAGTATAATTGTAGGGATTTCTTTCTAGTGAGAAAAGTGTTAACAAAGAAATTGTAGGAACAAAAGCTCAGAAGAAACATCAAGACAGGTGCATCTGTGGTTCTAACACAAGACACAGAGACTGTTAGAGAAGCAGCTTGACTTAAAGGAGACGTAGTGTTTTGTCCGAAGACTTCCACCAGAGAAATATCAGCCCCTCACTTTCTACCTCCAGGCTGGACTGAATAAAGGATGTTTTCAAAGTAGGAATATACAGTCTTCCCAATACACACGTGAATCTCAGAGCTGCTGACACGCTGCACGCAAGCCTTTCAGGTGAAAGCTCTCCACCGAAAGCCAGCGGGACATGACCTCCTCGAACACATAGGTGCTTTTTGGAAACCACACTGGCAGGGCTGGCACGTGCAAGGGCTGGGGATCACCAGTCACACCTGGGAGCCCAACCATCACCTGAGATGTATTGTAAGCCTGGCCTACAGCTCACAGCACAGCTGCATGCCAAACTGCAGGTGAACACATGCAATGACCACCACAACATTCCACACAACATTGTGTGAGCCACCCACGGAGGTGTACCTTGCTCAGGAGCTTCACATTCTCCTGTGAGGATACAACCAACCATCCATGTCCAAAAATTACACAGGTGAACATTGCTTTGAATAAAAAGCAATCCTGAGTGAAGGCTTATACGTTAACATAGAGCTGGTTGAAGCCAAAAGCTAGATTTGTTGTTCTCCAAGGATTGTCACACTTTCAGCCTTCTGATTTGGAAAATACCAGATTTTCTGCTCCAGGCTAAACACTTCATTTCATTATCATACCCTTTTTTGGTGATGCATCTTGATGACGCCTAGGGGAAATCACAGTGTAAGGAGCACGGAGCGAGGGAGGTCAATGAGACACACATCAGCAACACTCCTTACCTGGCAGAGAAAAGGCTGCAGCACCTGCAAAAGGTGTCTACCTTCTCAGGGGGACATGCTTTCATTTCTGCCTCCACTGAATTGTGAAACTAGTTCAGCAAGCCATCTTAATAATGAAGGAAAATGTAGTAATGCTATTGTTACATGCAATTTATTTTATGTACACAGCACAGTTGGAAGTTCACACCAAAGATCAAAAAAAAACAAAAACAAAACAACCTGGTACAGGACCTGGTTTTTAAGAGCCAACATCCATCTTCCCCCTGCTGAGTGCTGCTCTGCTGGAACTTTTTGAAAATTCAGCTTTTTTTTTTTTTTCCCCAGGTATCTAAAGTGCAAGCTGAGCTCTTTTGAGAATCCAGCACCATGTATTTCGCAGATGTATCATTTCTGATACTCTTGCATGTTATGCAGGAAAAATAGCCTGAAACTATAAGAAAGGCATGTACGTCTTGGTGTTCCACACACAGCCCCATCAGTCTAATAAATAAACCCTACTCACTACACGGCTTTTTTTTTTTTTCCCCCCTTATAGTATCCCCTTAACTCAACATCCTTAAGTCAATCATGATGAGAATCATCCTCATTGATTTACAAGAGAGAAAGAAGAAAAAGGAGTTTCTGGTTTCAGTCCATTAGCTGCTCACCAGGGGATCCAGTCTACTTTTTTTGAATATCAAATCCTTTCGAATGTGGAACTCTGGCCAAAAGCGTGGGGACTCCTCAGAGAGGGAACATAAACTACCGTGGGGTCTTTCACGTCTGCAAAGACGGAACATAAACTACCGTGCGGTCTTTCACCTCTGCAAAGACGGATCAGAAGACAACAGCTCCTGAGCCAGATGGTCACCTAGTATAAAATCAGTAGCTTTATTCAAAGGCCACCTCGCACGTTGCAAAGCCAGCAACAACAATTTCTAAAAACTGCCTAGAGAATGCAGAAGCTTTAATTCCCATTTTTCAAGCGTGACTTACAGCATATTATACGCTCCTGCGCATCCAGCACTGAAGGACTTAAGGCAGCGTAAGGCAGAAGCCAACTTTAAACAAAATTGGGTGCGCAAACTAGCTGGTTTGGGGACAAAAAGATCAACTTTGTGCCAAAGAGCTGCAAAACAACTGTTCTCAAGCTCCAGTCCAGAGCTGCCTTGCTCACATTACTGCAGCCGATTGGTAATTTCACTGGGCTCAGCTTCACAGAGCAGATGTGTGTGGGTATCTACTAGGGCTTTGCAATAGGAATGTGCAATTCCCTGCAAGAAAAGGCACAACCAAGACCTGGGGGCTAACGACACTTGCGATCAGGATCCAGGCCACACCTTGCCGTGCAAGTGACCCGACCTTTGGTGTTGGGTCTTGTGTGTGACACTTGCAGCAGCAGCATGGGCGCTCCCCCAGACCATGGAGACACGTGCACCCATGTGCTGTGGGGTCTCCCTGCTTCAAACTACTTGCCCCCCCCAGCAATTAGACAACTTTTCTTGTTTCAGGGAGAATTCTCCCCTTTTCACTTCTCTTTCATTCGCATAGGGCCGAAAATGGAAACAGGCAGGAATTAGAATCACTGGCCAACACAGTACTAAGAGCCCAACCTAAGCTGACCAAAAAGCCTAGGAAATAGAGGGGAAAATTGGTGTCAGCTCATCCCAAGCAGTCTGTACACAGCTGTGTGCATGCTGCTCTCTTACCACCACCTTGCACAAAAGCCCAGCTGCAATGTGCCAGTGACAACATGGTATCCCCTTCCCTGCAGTATCCTCCATTTGCAAGGGTTGAATTCACGGTCTCCACGTTGTAAGAAATATATTTGAAACATTTTATTTACAAACAGAACTACTTATACACCATGGACCAGTTTGTCAAACACAGTGTAGACTAGGACTGGATTGCCACATAACATACAACCCCCCTCACCAGCTGGTTAGTCATGCAAGCAAAAGGGACAGGTTCCTGAAAGATCTCTGTGGCCGGCAGCCGTCAACCTACCACAGATATTTTGTATTTTATCTCCCATCCAGGCCAGATTTCACCACTCTTCTTCATGTGGTGTAACTCTACAATTGCTCAGGCAAACCAGGACTACTCACGTAGTTAGTTGTCAGTTTGAATGAGGGGAAAGAAGAAGAACCTCAAAGACCTCCAGAAGACGCTAAAGAGAGAGGAATCCACCTGCTAGGGACTTTTGCATGAAATAAGGACTTAAAAATATTTTTTTAAGAGTTCATCTGCTCTTATTCATTATTCCCATCCTACCTGATTATAAGATGAGAACCGGTTTGTTCAGAATCAGACACAATATCACAATCTCAGGACTGAGATTTCACATTAAGAATAAGCATCTAGAGCAGGTGAATTCTTAAATGCTCTTTACCCAGTATAACTTTTAATAAATAATTTATTTTATTTTGGAACAAAAATAAAATACAATGCAAAGCAACACAGCACATATTATTACAAATATTCAGAGCTCTTCATCTAATAACAAACAACAGGGTGTCCTGAGATTCAGTGAGTACAGATCTTTCAAAAGGTGGAAGTATGTAGTCCACATAGTTAGTAATTGGTCCAGTCAAGGCTCAGACTGAAACTCATGTCACGGATCTATCTATTCTTGAGTATTGTCCTGGTAAAGTTATTCTTGCAGTGGATTGAAAGAGCTCCAGACACACTCAAAGTCACTAGGAGGTCCACAAGTTTAAAGAGCAGGTCTGGTCCACTGGAAAGGTTGCCTTCAAGTCTGATATCCAGTTGGAAAGAGGGGGTGGAGGGTGAGGCTCCACTTTTCACAAGGTGATTCGTCCCTTTGCAAGAATTAGAGCTAAATGTAGAAATCACTCTTTGTTTGAACATATACATTTTCAGGTCTTTGCTTAAGCAGGCAGAGCTCAGGACTTGGGGCGATATTCACTGGTTTTAACTTTTTAAACTTTTGCTTTCAGAAATTTGTCACTAATACTACTCTTTTCTGGAATAAATGCATCAAGCCATCAGTTTGAAAAAAGCAGGGCAGTGACTGGCATTTTGCTTTGCATGCTATGGGGCGGGGGTGTTAAAAAAAATGCTGAACATCTACCATTTCAACCAGGTCCTGTAAAGAGGCCACAAGCTGGATGCCCACAGTCACCAGTCCCATCAGCGTTATGGCCAACCCCTCCTACAGCACTAGCAATTTTTTTCAGTAGATTTTAGAAATTCTTTACCATCATCATTTTTTTTTCCTGCGTCTTCTGGCAGCAGTTATCCAGTTGTCCTCTCTCCATCTAATTTCCACATCTTTTTCCTACACAGTTTGAATTTGGGGAAGATCATTTTGGATGGTATTTGAAGGCAACCTCTTAAACTGTAAAGACTGTCTTACTGATGTCATTTGGGGAAAGCAAGCTACTTTCAGATGTTCAGATCATCTTTTCACCTGATCCCCCCAAGTCCCAGCTCTGAAATATACTGAACAGTTGCCTCTATTAAAAATGACAAGGAACATTTAACCTGAATTCTCCTTTGCAGAGTACAAATGTTTTGTTGTTCCCTTTTACGGGGAGAAAAAAATGAAAACCTCCAGAAAACCAAAACCCCCAATGTATTAACCTTTAAAGAACTTTGCTTGTTCTGGTGGTTATTTTCTGGAGAACCCATGATTGTCTCAGCTAAGCCCACCCAGGAGCCATTTCTCTCCCTTACTTTGTTGATTTTAAGGGCAATCTGCCAGTTTACATCAGCCTGAGCACATGGTTCAGGTCTTCAACACGGCACACCTTTCCTCTTAAGCCATTATGAGGGTTTCTCCTTTTTTAACAGCTGAGAATCTGGTCTTTTTTCTTTTTTTACTATACTTGAGAGGGGGTGAGAGAAGTCTTCATTTGGATGGCTTTTTGAGTTTTTAATGAACCTTCCACAGTCTTCCCAAAAATAGACCCAGGTGGGGTCAAGCCTTCTTGCTAAGCCATTGTTGCAACACAAAGGTGTGTGGGCTGAGATCTTCAAGAACCAAGCCTTATTTATGCAAGCTTCTCTGTCCAAGCCAGCTGGGGGTGCAATTTATTTGCTGGCATGGATAGCTAACTAGTTGCAGTTAATTTCAACCTTTTTTCAGTTTCAATTGAAATGCAAGATGGATTCATGAAACGTCTCCTTTCAGCTAAAAAAAAAACCCCAAATCCAGAAGCTCCCCAGGCTCCCAGGCTGACAGAGGAGTGTCAGCTCCTCTGCACTACTCTGCTGCTGTAAAAGCCTGGAAGAAAGCTGAAGCTGAGCAGCTCAGGTATATTGTCTTCACTGGGGCCAGTAAAGGACCAGAGCAGGATGACATCTGTGTTATAGAGAACATACTGGGACCTGGTGGAGGGGGCCTTAGAGGCAGTTTGGAGCTCGTGAGGGTCAGAGCATCTCTGGCAGCTACAATCTTATTTAAAGACTTTTGAACCAACGTGTCTTTCTGGCTAGAACCATACAGAAAATGGATTTCTTCGTTCATTGGCAATCAGAAAAACCATTTTGAAGTACTTTTGGGTAGCTTGAAAAGATTTTGAGGGGTACTTTTGAAATTTCTGGAATACCAGTGAGTAAATATAGGGAAGTATTTAAATTTTTAAGTTAAATTAAGGCGATTATTACACATTCTGAAATGTTGTACTCAAGAAAATGGGAGGTTAGGAATAGTTTTGTCAGTGGGACGGGATGCTAAGACTGTTTAAAACTACATGAGTAAGTAAACTTCTAATTTAGTGTCAAAAATAACCATTAATTTGGGCTCAAACTCAACATTTTCTCTGACCCAAAACAAAGCATTTAACTTCTGAGCATTTCTTTTAGAGCTCTTGAAATTGCATACAGTTCTGAAGAGGAACAGACTAGAAGCTTTTGTGAAACCTAGTTTTATTCTTTGATAGGACTAATGCAGCCAAAGAGCAACAAGTCTGTGATATATTTTAGGAAATCTGCATTTTCTATCAGAACTTGCTCTGGTTATGAGATTGAGGTGGGACAGTAGAGGGGAATGCTCCAACATTTTTCTTTCCTCTTAAATTACTGCCTCATCCTATCGCTTCTCTTCCCACTCATCCTCTGGCTAGGTCTTTCTGCTGCATGGACTCTGACCACCCTGGGGATGGACCTCTTCCTTGGTCAACGTTTGTAAATCACCAGTCTAAATGGAGCCCCGAAGTCTGGTGTTTCTGGGTACTGCCATATGAGACGAGTAGGTAAGGAACTGTGGAGTCCTCAAAAGCCAAAGTAACAGGGCACATAACTACAGAATCAGGTTGGGAAACTGCATGTAAGAGTCTCAGGCACCCAAAAAAGGATCTAGGTAGAAATCCATACACCTTGACACCCTAGATAGTTGCTAGAGAAGATTTAATCCCTAGCTCAGGGTTTTCACATGAATGCCTGAAGATAGACTGGATGAGTCCATGTGTAAGGGATAAATACTGGTGATGTGAGTGGAGCAAATAAGCTCTTGCACTCGCTCCATGTATCTAACACAAAACTGAACTCCACAGAGGTGTTACTGACCTGCATCAAATGCAAAGGACCTCCTACCATGTACCGTGAGCTCCACAGCAAGCTCTGTGGCAGACAGGAGAAATGCTGTGGTTCTGTGGGGTGTGGGAATTTTTCTTGTTTTATTCCCAATCCTTGGCACTGATTCTGTATGTGCACTGGCAATCTGCATGTGGTCGGAGGAGCCGCAAACTTCTCCAAAGCAGCACCGAGCATAATCCCTTCCCTTCCCATTCTGCCTTAATGCTTGCAGTAAACTAAGCTCAAATTAACCCAGCTAGAAAGGCAGCCTTTCGGGCGAGTTTGAGTAAGCGGCAGGAGGAAAGTACAGATGTCATTACACAAGCAAGGCAGGCAATTAAAGGTGAAGCATAACAAACCAGCAGCCCCAAGGCATTTACCAAGTCATTTGAGTGCTGTCACCCCAACTCCAGTCATACTCATGTGCAAAATCCAAGGGCACATTCAGAAGGAAGAGTCTCGGCCAGGGAGCCTTTCCCCTAGGGCTATGGGTTTGCTGATGCTCTTCTGTTTCGGTTTCTTATTTCTGTTAATGTTGAATACTATTTCCACACCTTACTAGGCACGACTGCCCACTTGGTTACGTCCAGATCAACTGTGAAACCAGCTAATCCAGTGTAAAGCCAGTATACCTCAGCAGGGACTCTAGCTCCTATACATTTACGAGCAGGGTGGGTTTTTTTACTTGTCAATAACCCCAAATAATCAACAGCTATTGCGTCAAGAGGACAGCCTGGCAACTAGTCAAACTCAAGCATTAATTTCTGTGAGTAAAGGATCCAAAGTACTGGCTGCCAGTGTAGTGACCATAAGTTTCAGTCTTCCCTGCACTTGTTATCATCAATACAGATGCTAAAACCACTGACTGCAAACAAAGGGTAATGGTTTTCCTTTCTGCAGTCTCATCCTTATGTATTTTTGAATGGTTTGTCTTCTCCCCCTCTGCAATTCCAACAAATGAGGTGAAAATGATCCGGGCACTACTCACTCTAGGGTCACCTGAGCCACTGCATCCATCGAACTGTATCCGTTCTCCATGAAGATCTCCGTGTATCGGCCCATTTTGATGGCTTCCAGCCACTCACCCACCGACCTGTAGGCACCACTCCCGACTGGACTGTGCTCTACCAACAGATTTGATACTCTAAAGACAAGCAAAAACACAGAAGCAAACAGAATCAGTATCGAGATGTACCCAATGTGACTCAGTTGCTCACATTTTCACATGGTAAAGATGATTCTTTTGTTGCACTTTCAGTGATTGCTGCTGCCTAAATCCTCCCAGCAGGCTTGATATGCAATTTATCAAACATACCACTTCACTTTTTGAGTTAATTCCTTGCATTTATGGTCCTCAATGCAAGCAGAAAAAGGAGGAGAGGACTAGTGTCCATCCCCATTACCTCTCGCCCACAAGCAGGCTCCCCTTCTATTTGGCTGCCCCAGTCACTCTTACTTCAAAGTCTTCGGTTTCGCTCCTCCTGCTCTGTTTTCCTCCTCTCCTTTCAAAATTCATAATTAGCTTAAGACAGTCCAGAGCCTGGAACCTGAAACCCAAATTAGATTTCCCAGCAGCGGCCATTGATGGCAGGCTGCTGTTAACACTTCAGGGGCTGCTCCTGCAGAGTCGGGTGGGGATTTCGGATGCGGGCAGCATCCAGCAAGCCCTGCAGAGAGCAGCAATGCTCCAACAACGCTCCAGCCCTGAAAACAGAGGTAGATTCCTGCTCCTGCACCCTCGCTCAAGACCTCGCCACAGCAATTGCTACCTGCTCGGTTATGCCACGCACGGAAGAAGCAATTCAGGCAAATAATATCCCTTCACCGCTGCAGAAACACTGATACGGTACCTGGCAGAAGCGACCCATGCTGCGTACAGGTCCACCACCCTACTAATGATGCGCAGAGAGCAAAGGGGGCTTGTCCAAGGTCAGCCAGGAAAGAAACTAGATTTGTCCCCTGCTTTGTAACCAGGACATACGGCTAACATAAGCCTCGCATAAAGATTATTACCCACAAGTAAAAAAACGTTTTCTGGGTCAGCCTCCGACGGTGCGAATTACACTTAAAAGACTTTCAACTGGAAGGAGAGATGGGATATTATATTATTATAGCACTTCAGGAATCTTCATATATTTTATGAGCACATTAGTATTATTTGTTTATTTAATAGCAATGCTGAAGGGTCCAATAAAATGTGAATACTTGCAGTACCAAGAGCATAATGGCTTCCCATAACATTTTACACACATGAGGAATTCAAAACTCCTAAGTAATCATAATGAGAAGTGGATTTTCATCACTAATGTCAGGAGGTACCTACTGATATGCACACGCTGTAATGTAGAGAGTGACTTCCTCCCTTATTTGCATTAATGAGAATTTCCATAAAGAATACATTACATATATAAAAAAATCCTTTACAGCTGCTGTATGTTGAAATTATGATTCATTTGGAATTACTATGGCCTGGGCATGGCAATCTATGATTATAGAAACACAGTCCCAACGCCTGGCCGTTCAGGTGCTCCATCCACATCGAAAATACCCACCCGCAGCTCTGAAAAGGAAAGATTTGGAATTGCATGGACCTGTTCATGAAATAAAACATCAGCAAAGTGCTTAGCAGCTCAAGGAAATAGTTTGCTGCCTATTTTCCTCTTTTCTGGCATAACAGTTTGGTATAAAAGGCTGCATGAACCAGCATATAACAGGCCTGGAAAATGATGGTTCTGAATTGAAAATAAGAGAAACATCACATATTTTGTGCTATCACAAACCTCTTTCTGCAGGTTTGCTGGGACTGATATTACATTTAATTGGTAATAAGAGTAATTTCTTCTTCAGATGGTAAATGATGCATGTGAAATAACCTGAGCAACCAGATCTATCTTGTATTTAAAAGTTAACAGAGATTTCATGAGTTGCCATGTGTGGGGACACGCCAGCATGGGGATATGAGGTCCAGCTGCAACAGGTGAGATAGGCCACGTGCAGCTGTGCAAGACTCACTCGGGAAGGTGTGGACATGGATGGGTCTAAGCTCACAACAGTACATCTGCTTCGGTCCACGCCATCAGTCTAACCTCATTTTACATCCCTCTCATTCCTGTCCACGGAAAACGACGTGTCTTTTTTTCCTCCTCTAAGAATAAGCTTTTCTGAAGGGCCTCTTCCAGTGTTAATCAGGGGAGCTCCACTACCATCAGTGAAGCAGCAATGATTTATATTCATCACTCCTTCATGACCTTGCAAGGGACTGAGTGATTAGCAACACAGATGACTCAGAAGTAATATTTGTGTGCTTACAGCAAAACAAGAAAAAGCCTCTCCAAGACTCCAGTATGATGGAGACCCCAATACTAAAACTTACTAAAAAATATGAATCTTTTTTTCTCCAAGTGCAACTTTAATTCTTGACCATATTCACCTCACTCCTCATTTAGCCATGCAGATATTCAGATTCATGTTTAATTGCACACCGGCTGCTCTATTCACTTTATATGGTTTTAGAAAATGGTTTGTGTATAGCTCTTTGGGAACCACAGGCATCCTCTCGTGATTACCAAGACTGTCAGAACTGGCAGTGGCAGCTAGCAAGCCTGGGAATAAGCTGTGGGAGCATGCACTTGGACATCTGTGAGCTTTGCACATCCTAAGAGTTTCCCCAAGAGGTGCTCTTCATTTGTATTACCAAGATAAAGTCAACAGGCAGATAATTTTAGCAGCATTTACTATCTACTTCATGTACTTAAGTCCTGCCCTCTCTAACCCTAGGGTAGAGCCAGGTAGCTTTATCATAGACCTATAAATACTGCTGAAACTCCCGTTTCTGAAAGATGGGCCACAGTAATTTACACACTGCATTTACAGAGTAACTGGATTGCTAACCTGTCTGCCAATTTCAACAGAAAAAGTTGATTTGGGAAAACTCCCCTGGACTTAATGAAGCTGGAGGAACATCCATGCGTGGATGCGTGCAGGCTAAATAATAACTGGTAATTCAACCCCAGGGACGGGTATTCAGACAAGGGTCTCACTCAGAGAAATGGCTCTGGCTTGAGTTTGTACCTGCTCGATGCATTAACCAACGTCTTCAAGCTGCTTGGGTTACGGATGAGCTTGTCCAACATGCTGACAATTTCGTCAAACTTGGGCCTGCTGTTGCGGTCTTTCTGCCAGCAGTCGAGCATTAGCTGGTAGAGAGCAGCAGGGCAGTCCATGGGACTTGGCAGGCGATAGCCTTCCTCCACGGCTTTAATCACCTACGAGAGACAAAACACGAGGCTGATGGGTTGATTTTCTTCCTCTTGCCTTTTTCCCAAATGCAAATTGACTTAAACAGAGAACTTTGGGACCAGCAATATGCTCATGTAAAATCGCACCGCCCCCCAACTCTGCACACAAGAGGCAAGCCCAGTAAACACAACTATCTTTCATATTTTCTACGAGATGGGTTGAGTAATTTAATTTTTGGTCACTGCAAAATTAATCTAGAAAGCCAAGGCACTGCAGCAAACCAGGGGGCCAGACTGCCAGGTTGCACTTGTTCAAAGCTCAGCTGAGGTCTGTAGGTTATATACCAGGAAACTCCTGGAGCCTACCCTAGAGTCCACGAAAAGCAGCCCACAAGGCTTTCTGGCATCTTCTTGGAGTGCAGTGATTTTGTTTATTCAGATGTTGGCTTCTTTTTAAATGAAAAGGCATGTGCTAGACCACAAATTTGTATTACAGTAATAAAAGTCTGACTGTATTTCAAAAGAGACTTTGAATGCTAATTGATGGATGGATTCAAGGCAGAGGCAGAACAACCATCTCATATATCATTCAGTGCTGTCTGGGTCTAGTCGTTTCTCAGTGTGGCCACATATCTGCCAGGAATTTAAAATGTCAGCCCAAGAGTATGTAAATTAAAACCAGGGGAGGGTTGTTGTACTGATTTCAAATACAAACCATCTCTGGTTCTATATCTGAAACAAGAGGAATGCACATGTGCTGCCTGCCCTCTTGAAAGGCAGAAATGAATAACTGAGAGCAGAATTGAAGAAAACAACTTGTTTTTCCCAGTTTGGGGCAGATTTACAGCAGGGCTCCAAGCCCAGCAGTTCCCATTTTGAACCACTACAATTTTCAGAACGCAGCTCGTGTTTCAAGCCACAAGAGTCTGTGATTGCTCCAAGAGAGTCCCAGGGGCCCATCTTCACACCCTCTACTCCCAAGGCTCCTTGACCAAAAGGAGATGGAAGCAGCTATTTGCTATGTGGAAAACCACAGTGCTTCACTGTGGGACTCCAAGGACTGCCTCAGATGCCAGTCATTCTAGGCACTGTCTCAGGATTTGAAAACATCCTGTGTTTAAAAAGAAGGCTCTGTGGTTAGCATGGAAGTTGTCTTCTCCATCTTTAGTCTCTATACGGGCAGCACAGGAAGAGCCGCGTCAGGCTGGCATTGCATTTCAGAAGGCTCCGAAATTCAGGACCTCATGGATCGCTTTTAAATTGTCCTCCACCACAGGGCTCTTTGCCAAGTGGAACAGTCCCAGGAATGAGCCAGGCTGGCTGAGCAGCAGTAGCAGGAACCTCACACTCCCTAAGGATGTACATAGCAGAGAAGAAGATAGGGGAGGCTTTGTAATCTTCTCCAAGGGTAGCGAGCACATCTGAAGATCTGGCCCACAAGACCTGCTGTCCTTTTGCGCCCATCTAAGATTTAATCTGTCACTAGAGCAGTTGCACCGCTCTCCACCCAACCTGCACCTGCAAAGCAATCTCTTCTACGGCCTAACCTTTGCTTACAGCATCAAAAAACAGTCCCACCACACTGTACTATCTCCACTGTCTGTTCTTCACATCATGCTTTTCAGCTGGACCCCGATACCAAATTTGCAGCTGCCCTATAAAAAAAGCCTCAGTGTAGCACAGCCACGAGAACGTTATTTGCTGTGTCCGCGTCTGTATTTATAATAATAATAACGGATCATCCTCCAGCTGTAGCAGAAAGAAAATAGTAGCAAGATGGGGATCAGACCATCTGGCACCAGCTCAGAGTATCTGAACTACATCTGCAATGGGGTTATGCATGTTTGATATTCCTGGCAGTAACATCACAATCAATAGCGTTAACTCAATTTACAGGATGTCGTTCGTTCTGGTGATACAATATAAATGGTATCAAAACACTGCAAGGAGCTAGGACGCTGAAATACACTGTTGCATCTGAAGGTGCCTTGGGGGTGGCAATAAGAGGAGCAAAAGAACGAAACAACAAAGGCCAAATCACTTGTAGCCACCACAATACTTAGAAAATAAGAGAATAGCACATTCGCTGTTCCATTCATTGGTGCATACTGCTTCGTAAGACTTGAAGAGCTAAAAGTTGCACCAATAATGAGGCATTTTTGTCCATGTTCCTCTTCTGGACAAGCACTACTCCCTTATGGATTGGGGTGGCTGAACTGGATGTCTGGGAGAGGATCATTCGGGATAGTCTATTCCAGGAAACCAAAGCAACACTTTTAAGCTCTGTGTTTTCATAAAACCACCAGTCTGAAAACTAAAAAGCAACCACTGTGATCATTTAGCTTAGCAACCTGTGTTACACAGGTCAAAAATTCCTCTCCACAATTCCTGCATCAAAGCCTTATCTTGTGGTCGAGTCAAAGCGTATTTTCAGAAGGCCATGCAGAAACCAGCATGACTTTAAAACATGGTTTGTAGCCTTTGCAGTGACAACCTTGCCTGCCCTACGGCACTGTGCCTGCCTCCTTTAAAGCAGTCTGGCTGTAACATGGTGAGAATCGTTTTGCTCATCACAGGCTGCGCTGCCAAACGATGTGCTCTAATTACAAGCCATGCAAAAAGAAACTCTTGTGCAAGAGTCCGAAATTCATGCGAGCAGAGCCCCCTGGTCCTCTGCATGAAAGCCAATGCTGTATCTAACACCACCGAATCTTCTGCCAACACAAGCAGGGTAGGAAAGAAGAGGAGGCCTTCAGAAGATGAAGCAGGAAGGCACAAATCACATGAGAAACATGCCACAACACTGAACTAAGTTTCCAAGGCTACCACCATCCAGGCCCTTGCCACCTGCACATAGGCAGAGAGGTAACCTAAGCAAAGCCTGAGCAGGAACTGATGTTCATAAACATCTCATCAGTCCTCTGCCTTCTGCTCCAAAAGAAACCAGTCCCCCATCTGCTACTTCTCAGGCAAGTGTGAAATTCACCCTGTGCCCCACAGTGCACAGAGGCATTTGGGCTTTTCAGAACAGTTCTGCAAAGTGTGGATGTTCATAGTGTTACGATCCAGACAAGGCACTCCCCTGGCCATGGAGCGTCATTTCACTGGCACCAGCCTGAATCTTAGGCTGGTGTTAACTGAACAACACCTGTGCTGTGTCAGTGCATCAGCATTAAAGATAGTTACAGTGCTCTGTGTGACCGAAAAAGCTTGGCTATCAATTGCTGCACAGGCTATGGAAGAAAGTCTGTATTTGATTGAGATAAATCCCTACGTAGATACATGCTGCTTTACCAAACTCCCTGCAAACGTGACAGCCTCAGCAACGCAGAAGCGGTGGGGCATTCAAGCCAAACAACGTGATTGCCTCCCTGGCAAGATGCACAGCGCGGCCGTCTCAAAGGCACTGCTCGTTTCTGCCCCTGGACTCAAAGCGAGACGAGCCAGCAGCTCAGCATGACAGGTAGTAACATCCACTGATGGCAAAGGCCCGCAGACAAAACACAGGAGAAACAGAAGACTCAGCCAGAGCCTTTGCTGCCAGTGAAACGGCAGAAAGTCACGGTGACAGGGCCGCTGCTTAAAAAAAGAAAAAAATATGAAACATCAGGTGTTGTGACCAGAGGACACCCATGGCGGAGCAAGGACCTGCCTGCTTTGGCCAGCCAGCAGCAGCATCTCTGCAGGTGTCAGGGCTGCAGAGATGAAGTGGGAGGGATCAGGAACGACTCTGTTTGCCACAGACAGAGCGGTGCATTTCCTCCCAACCCTGCCCTGCATCGCAGAGCTGCTTTGGGGGCCTGCCATGCCTCATGGTGACCCTGACCTCATGCACTAGCTGGCATCCTCAGAGACCTCCACACGTCATGGTTCTTAGAGATGTGAAGAGAAAGGAGGGGCCTAGAATATCTGGGAACTCCCAAGGCTTAAATTGTTTTTAGCCTTAGACAAGGACAGATGTTTATGGTGAGCTCGGTGTAGGAGGTAGCCCTGCAGTAGGATCAAGAGATCCTTACACAGGCTGGGATCAGAGCTGCAGTCAGGACAAGGGACAGTGTCCCCAGGCTATCTCCCTGGGGATGCTTCAGAGGGTGGCCTTGAGGTCAGAGACTCAAGGGGGCACTGGAGTCCAGGAGCAAGGCGACACAACTTGAAGGCTGCCTATACAAACGAACCATGAGAGCTTGCGTTAGCGCAGACTTACAAGATGTTCACAACAGGAGCAAAACTATGCTCTCGAGATCAGCAATGCAAGGGCAACCGAGACGCAGCTCTCCGGACTGCTGTCACTAGATCAAATCACCCAGCTTTTGTGCAGGGAAACAAAGCCCTTACCGTGACTCTCTTGAGTTTCTGCTTTACGTGGCAGCAGGGGTTTGAACACACAATTGAAATGCTGCCAGTTATCAGCATCTATCCCCTGGCAGACCTTTGTCATTAAGCAGAGGAGGGACAGGCTCCAGCTCTAACAGCATTAGTGAAGCTCCAGCGGTCTGCTGGGGAAAGCAGGCTTGCCTCTGTGCAGACACATTCCCCTCTGTGCACAGCCTGTTCTGGGCTGCTGCTGTAAAAAAAGAGCATCAAACGGGAGACTCATTTTGGCCTCGCATAGGGGAGCAAAGCCATTTTTACGGCGGCTCTCCTCCTCTTGTCCCCATCCTGCCTCTCTGATTGCAGAATGAACGCCGAGCCCTCAAAGTCCCATCACGCGACAGCTCTTGCACGTGCTTACATCTTGGTTTGTCATTTCCCAGTAAGGCCTCTCGCCGTAGGACATCACCTCCCACATCACGATGCCATAGCTCCAGACATCGCTGGCCGATGTGAATTTGCGGAAGGCGATCGCTTCGGGTGCTGTCCATCGGATGGGGATCTTCCCTCCCTAGAAGGAAAAGAAAAGGAAAAAAAACCTGAAAACCAGATTGCAGAGGAGGGCAGAGAACATGCAAAAGAGGACGAAACAGCACTTCTTAGAGCACTGAGGGATGTTGTTTTCTCTCTGGAAAGAGACATCGAATTTTAAAGTAAATCTGTTTGACAGCATGGGGCCCCTTTCCACATTATCTCAGCCCATAAGCATTTGTAGGCTGCCTACTAATTGGCTGTCCTGAAGGTTTGTTGTTTGAATGCTGTTTGAATGCTGGGACATGTATAGGATCAACATCTCAATTATGTTGCACGAGTTGGTAGGGGAATACAGTTCTTCCATTTCTGAGAGCGAGCGGGGGAGGAACAGACAGCTCTGAAGCCGAGGAAGACTTTGATCTAACGAGGGCTTCATGCAAATTGCTGTGGAAGTAATGCCCTTTTTTTTTTTTCTTTTTTTTTTTTTTTTCTTAATGCGGTCCCAATCCTGCAGAGAGATCTGTGTAGCGGGCACAGAAATCTGTGCCTGCAAAGACCAGCCTGCTTGGCCTCTGCTGTGGGACTGAAAATGATGCCACAGCTGCCAAATGTGCTTTGCTGTTTCTTTTTAGCCTTTCTACCATTTTAGAAATCAAACTTCAGACCAGCTCTGAGAAGGAAGAGGAGAGAGAAAGGAAAGCTTGGGTTGAGGAATTCTTTTCTCATTCGGTTTAAAGAGTTGTCTCCCTTGATTTATATTTTACTGTGAAGAACCCTTCCTCTCAATGTTGAGCTAAATATTGTAAAGTCTCCCTGAATGCCCCCTAACAGTGTTTGCTATTGGAAAAAGGTAGAATTTGGAACACATTTTCAAAGCAAATTTTAAAAAGTCCTTTCTTCCAATAATTATTTATTCACAGGCTTATCAGCACATGCCTTAAGTGAGGAGCCAGATTCTCAGCAGTGCCAATTAGCACATGGCAGCACGTTGCAGCCACAGCAGGGCTGGCCGAGAGCCCTTCAGCCTGCAGGGAGGCTCCAGTCCAGCCGTGCGCTGAGTCCTGTCGTGGGGCTGTGACTGCCAAGAGCTGAAAGGCCTTTCCCAGATCTCTGCAGGAACTGGGAACGTGACCCAGAGAGCTCCCACCACCCGTAAAACAATACCCTTGGAAAAACATGCTAATAGGACATGTCCAGGCGTGCCAATTACTGCCACGAATATTGGAGGCTCTCTCCAAGCCTGTGCTGCTGGGTCTGTGGGGTGGACAGGGTCCTGTCCACCTGATGGGTCCTGTTCACCCCCTCTCCACAGCACTGGGCCCATGTGGCCTTGCACTGGGATGGGGTGGGCGGATGCCCTGAAAGGATGGATCAAGGATGGAAAAGGGCAGAGCACTCTGAGGCTGGAGGAGCTCTTTCTCAGGCTGGGCGAAATTACCCTCAACAGGGTAATGTTGAGGGCAATGTGTGTCATTTGCAACAGGCACTACACACTTACCAATGTTTTAAAAGGGTCAAATTGTCCAGAAGACCATGGCTTACATGTCTGCACAGGTGCCTAAGCAAAGCACTTGCTCTTGCTCTTTCCTCCCTTTGATATTCACCAAAGAGGACAGAAAAGAGCTGGGAGTGCAGCACCTTTGCAAAGTTTGCTATTTGACTCAGGTTCCCAATATGAACTTAAAAGTTATTAGTTAAGTTCTGCCTTATTTGGCTACCCCTTCTACAAAGTTACAGGCATTTACAAAATTAATCTGATAATTATTAACTGGTGACACCTGTCCAAACCCTCATGCACAGTTTAGAGACTCTGGATTTGTAGAAACCTCTTTGCTAGAGAGCCTGAACACCAAAACGTAGCAGCAAATAAATTTTTGTTGAGCTCAATCAGTTTGGTGTCCTCATAACTCACCCTGGTTGTGTATGCTGCTTCAGGGTCATCTTCCAGGACTCTGGAGAGGCCAAAGTCTGACACCTTGCAGACTAAGTTGCTGTTGATTAGGATATTCCTGGCAGCCAGATCTCTGTGTACGTAACCCATGTCAGACAGGTACTTCATTCCTGACGCGATGCCTCGCAGCATCCCAACCAGCTGAATGACCGTGAACTGCCCATCGTTCTTCTGCAAAAGGAAGGAGACATTTCATGAGTTGAGAGTCTCTGCACCCTCAGCATTGCCTGTGCATGAATAAAAATGCAAAGGCAAGTCTCCAGGGAAGAAAACGAGGGAAATTAATAATTCATTACTCTCATGCTCTGACCACAAAGCTTTTCAAAGTTTCACTGTTTGGATTAGGATCTCTAGAGACAAAGCTAAGGAAATGTAGTTCTTTTAACTGGAGATCAAGGAGCAAGCTATTTCCACTGGTGACTGATAAAGAGACTGTGGCTGGGAGTGAACACATGTAGTTACGTGTATAAAGGCACCGGGGCGGGCTGACTATAAGCTCTAACGTCTCATGGAAAAACTCTGGCAAGTCTGGGGTTTGCATTGATGCAGTGTGGATGTGCTCTGGAAACTCATCAACTTTTGCAGGATAAGTTAATCACTTCCATGCAGCAGACTGCCTTCTAAAATAAACATAGTATCTCCAATTTATTCTCATCTGTTTGTATCAATGCACAAACCAGGTCCTTCATGATGCTGTACAAATATAGACCAAACAGGCAACTGAGCTACTCCTGCCTCCAGACAGCATCAACAGTTGGACCAGCACCCAGCAAAAATTTTCACTGAAATTAACCATCTACAAAGAACTCAAACTTTAGTCAAAGTCCCCCTGGAAAAACGATCTAAGCATTACCTTTAAAAATGTATCCAGAGAACCATTTTCCATGTATTCAGTGACTATCATTACTGGTTTGCCTGAAAAAAAAGCACATGAGTTTGTTAGTAATTTATTTAAAAAACATGTATAACAATAAAGTCATAGAATCACAGAAAGGTTTAGGTTGGAAGGGACCTTAAAGATCATCTAGTTCCAACCCTCCAGCAATGGGCAGGGAAACCTTCCACTAGACAGGTTGCTCAAAGCCCCATCCAGCCTGGCCTTGAACACCTCCAGGGATGGGGCACCCACAACTTGTTCCAGTGCCTCACCACCCTCACAGTAAAGAATTTCTTCCTAATATCTAATCTAAATCTAGTCCCTTCCAGTTTAAAACTGTTACCCCCTTGTCCTATCTCTACACTCCCTGATAAAGAGTCTCTCCCCACCTTTCCTGGAGGTACCCTTTAGGTACTGGAAGGCCGCTATATGGTCTCCCTGGAGCCTTCTCTTCTCCAGGCTGAACAACTCCAACTCTCTCAGCCTGTCTTTTCATCATGCATCTGAATGTGAATATACATCCATGCAACAGTAAATCTACACCAAGACACTGTTGTCCCAGCACGATGACAATAGTTTTTGCCAGAATATATGTAGAAATAGGGTAATGGAAAAGGAGGGAATGAAAAAGTAATTCTGTATTATGGGTAGGGTACCAAGCCCTTGAGTGTTTAGATGATGTTTGAGGAAGAGGTTGAAAGCTGAACCCAGGCAACCTTCTCCTCATCTCCATAAAGAAGCTGGAAGCTTGCAGAAGCCAAATTCCACACAGTGACCTATTTGGACTCGCCCCTATAGCTTCAACACCCTAAAGTAACAACAGAAGCCAAACCGGAGGAACCAGGACGATCTGAAGTACCTATCTGAGCTTAGTAGCCACCAACACCATGACAAGAAAGACAGGATTATGTCCCTTGTAATTCAAGTAATCCCACGTGACTACCCTTCTAAACACATGAGGAATTAAGAAAAGGAATATTTATGCTGCAGAACAAAAGCGAGTTAAGTATGGAACAAGTGTGAGTGGAAAACAAAATAAAAGTTCTTAACAAAAGACCTGGCCTCCTATTGTTGACAGGAATAATAATGTTTTTCCAAATCCATTTGATTAATTTTCATGCCCGAGTCATTTTAATGGTAATTATACATAGGTTTTGCTCAGTTTTTATATCTAATTTCTCGCTAGCTTGCCACAATGACATAGCAATAATTAATGTGGTGTGCTCCAGCCCTTGTAAATTCAATGAAATCTTATAAGAACATGTAAATTATTTTTTATTTAAATCAATTTCCATTAGCTAGCACGAAGCACAGACAAAAGAGGAGCTGTCAATTATTTGTAAAGTGCATTATAAATGTCTTTCATAGAAATGATCAACGAGAGCGGCCGTGTGTCATAACATGCGCATGAAGGTAAATGCTCCTAAAAATCGGCACATGTTCTACCATTTAGATTGGTCTTAATCTTCCCACTTTCCCATTACCTTAACTATTTGCCTAATTTAGTGCTTAATTATCTACATAATAAAGGTAATTGTGAACTTGTCAATCAAAACACTCATTGTTGTGCAGACACTACCTTTGCAGCGTGAGGGACCTGCGCTGCTTCAATTCTTTTAAGGTAATATCACAGCTACTGCCTGAGCTCGAAGCTTGCCAAAAGTATTACTTTTGATATGAGAAATGCACCTTGGGGACATGAAAAATATCGTCGAGTCTCAAACAAAATAACAGGCCCCACCTTCAAGGATGACAACTGTGTCTACACACGATGTGGGCTGCATGCAGGACGGGAAGATCTTGGGTTACATTGGTATAGGCTGGCAAACATGTCAGTGGCTACGCAGGGAAGGGAAATCCCAGGTATAACTAATTTTGTTTTGTTTTGGTTTGGTTTGGTTTTAATCACTAAACACCCAACTGTAGCATGCTGTCCCTTATCTCTGACTCTTCAAGGAAGCGTTGCAGCAAGACTGGTGTCTCGTTATGCCACCACCCTGGGGGACCTCCTTCACGCTCCTGCCTTTGGTTACCATCAGAGAACAGAAAATAAGATTTCTGGCGCTTCTGTTTCATTATCTGACTGCTGCAGGTTGACAGTAATCGTGGAATAAATTAGCCCCATATCCAAGAGCATGGAAATAAAGACACTAATAGAGTAACTTTCAACAAAGTAAATTAAAAGTAAACATTGGCCCTTCTAAAGCACTGGTCTGATTCTCCGTGTTAGCAGAGCTGCCTCCCACTGGCATTACAGGGCCATAAAATGAGTGTAGATGTCATTCATATCAATGTACTAATGCAATGTGCACACCCTCAGCCCAACCAAATGGGATGCAAATGAACACAGGACCATCATTACCTTTGTAAAGCAGAAATAGCTTGTGCATGGGGACAATGAATACGATTAATCCAAATTAACTAAGGTGTGCATTTGAACTAGATTAGTTAAATGGTATTAAACCCCTGCGTGGATATTCTCATTCAGAATTAAAAATGGCCTAATTCAATTTAACTTAATTTACTTCCAAAGTAAATCATGATGCAGCAAAGACATTTTACCTTAAAGATCTGAATCTATGATAGGCCAATGACTAAAACACTGAAGGAAAAAAGAAGTTAACCAATACTTTGAGACAGCAGCATAGTTTAGGATTCATCAAGGTTGTTTTGGTCCATTTAAAAGAAAAGAAAAAAAGCTGAGAAGATGCTCCAGATGCCCGATGGAAAAAATTTTGAGCGTGGTAAACAAGCATTTACTGAGCTAATGAAGAGCTTGGGGTGCACGTACCCCCCTGCATCCGAATTCCAGTCGCTCCACGTCCAATTTAGAAGCAAAGCTCCCAGCTTTTTCACTGCCTTTGGAGCAGACAGCCACTTTATATAAAAGGCAGCTGGCTTAGGGAGGCACATCCTCTCCAAAAGTGGCTTTCCCACCCATCCCCTGAGGCTGTGGCAGCCAGAAAGACTAAAGCCCATGTCCGTAGCAGCTTTTATGGATGTATAATTATCACTCGCTTCCTGCCCAATACCCTACATCCCTGCACGGATAGAAATGGGAGCTTCTATGTATTAAAGGCTACACAAGGTGACCCCAAGGGATTTTGATATTTATTCAAATTTTGGGAGAAACCTACCTTAGTTATTTTTGGTTTTAATTTCTTAAAAGTTTTAGGAAATGCAAGGAAAGGCTGTTGATTACAAAATAGCATTGATTTTGAGTAGGTTATAAGGATATGAACTGGACGAACAGCTAGGGTCTCTGTACCTTCTCTATTGCAGCTCTGAAAAAGAACTAATTTTGGAGACGTTGCCTCTGATGAATGACAAATGGTACTAGCGGCACCTTTCCCACAGCCTCAGCACAGCACCAACAGCCGGAGAGGCTTGGGTTGGGCACTTTCGGATGTGCTGTCCCTTCCTCTGCCCTTATCTTTAGCACATACAGTAATTTGGAGAAGAACTAGGCTGGGAAAGTTTTAGAAGGTTATTTTGCTAACTGAGTAATCAGTCTCTTTATGTGCCACGTGCCACTCTTGCCATGTGCTGGCATGTTTTGTTGGCCACTTCACATTTTCCCCAAGTCCTTAACCCCTCTCATAATCTATATGCCAGCACCAGGGTCAACTACTACCATGGGCCTCATGAGCAGATCCCAGAGGGAGCTTGCCTTAATCATGGTTTTACACATTCCTGTCGTCTTCAGCTATACTCCTGTTCTTCTGCCCTGCTTCTGGAAAGCCAAACTTCAGCTAACTTCTGTCCTCGCCCACATCCCATGTGAGTGATCACAAGGCTCAACACTACCTTCCTGTGGGCTTTGCTTCAGTGGTTTCTCGAAATATGATGGCTGGAAATCATCAGGGGTTGTGTTGGTTTTTTTTTTTTAAGACTCTTGGTAGCAAAATCCTCCCCGTTTCCCTGCCAGGGAAATCACTTCCCACTTCTTGGCACATCTTTGCTCACCCTGGGGCTCACATCGTTTAAAAAGTAAACAAATAAAGGCAGGAATAAGGAGCGAGCCTGTTTGAAAAACTTAGCGGGTGGCTCGGCATCACTGTGTTCAAATCGCTCTTGCATTTTGCAGACGTTAGGTGCTGCTGAACTACTTGCAAGGCAGAAGTCAGGCATCACACTCCACTGGCATTCAAGCATCCCTGGCTTACTGCCTGAGGCTGGCCAGGCATATCATCTCCTATTTCTGCCTCATTTAATTTTGGGCCATTGAAGCGGGGTTTTCTCTTAGCCCATGCATATTATGCCTAGGCGAGGCAAGGTTTGCAGAGGGACTTAATGTTTTTTATCATTTTAGCCATTATCTATCCATCCTAGCTGGAAGAACGCTGAAATCCTTCATGCACAAACCCCCTTTACAATGTTGGGGAACCCGTGCCTGACTGGAGCTACTAAGTGTGACATTTCGGGCAAGGAGAGTTCACTGTTTTTAGAGAAATTACAAAAGGCGCAGTCAAAACGCGTGTTACCCAAGTCTTCCCTAACCAACTCTCCCACCAGCCAGAGTTCAAGGACAGCAGTCCACAACAACTTGTACCTACTTTTTGTGACGACGCCTTCCAGGTGGATGATGTTGGGGTGGTCAAACTGCCCCATGATGCTTGCTTCTCCCAAGAAATCTCGCCTCTGTTTCTCCGTGTAGCCCACCTTCAGGGTTTTGATAGCCACTGGAAACTCACGCTTTCCCTGCAGCTTCAGCCGCCCGCTGCAGACTTCCCCAAATTCACCTTCAGAGCAAAATCAGAAAGAACAGGATCACAGCACATTGAAGGAACGCATGTGTGTGTCCATCTATAGCATGCAGCCCAGCCCCTATAGATAGCTGACAAAAAGCACGCAGGGTTATCCCGCATTCATGGATGAAAGCTGAACATCACAGCGATCACCATCTCAAATAGCCAGCATGCCACAAGCCAAGTAATTCATAAGCACAAGAAAACTGGGAAGAAAAATGCAATTTTCCTATATTTAAAGAGCTATGCTCTAGATTCCATTGGGCTTTTTCCTCATTTCTTGTTTTTGCCTACTAGATGAAAGAGTCCTGTCACATCCCATATTATCGCCCTGTGTAGATAGCTGTAAAACACAAGCTACATGCTTCTTAACTGTTTTTTGGTAAGTTAAATGGATGGGATGCTGTTAGCCTTTCACAGCAACATCTATTTTTATAGACTATAAACCTCTTCTGATTTTACGACCATCTTTTTAAAAAAGTAACCCAAATGGATTTTTCTTTTTCTTTTTTTCTGGTGAACAGTAAATTACCTCCAAACTCACAATTTCAGAGGATAAAAAATATTCCTAATGTTGGACACAAGTCCAAACAAACAGCTTAACTGGAAAGAAAATGGAAGTTTCTTCTTTTAACCAAGAAAGTTACAAGCTTTGGATTTTGGTTTGTGTTTTTTTTTCTCTCCCAGATGACTTCTTATTCTTAATTTTTGCTTCGAGACAGACCTTAATGGGGGAGGAGAAAAAGGTTAAAATGGTGAAAAGAACCTGAAAATTAAGTGACTTATTTCCCTTAGCATCTGTCGGAATAACTCAGCTTGGTCCAAATGAGACCGTTTTCTGCCGTTTTCAGTTCAGTCCCTGAATTTCAAAACAACAGACAATGACAGATTTGTCCCAACTTCAGCTGCAACATGCTCCCCATCACTTGCAGGGTACCTAACAGTATAAATATTTCACAGCCCTTCCCAGATCTCTAATGTTAAGAAAGTCAACCCTCCACGCTGCTAAGGGTCATGAAATGCATTTCCGTACCAGCTCCAATAACTCTTTCAATGGTTATGCACGAAGCTTCGATTTCCTTAGCAAACTCGTGGACAGCTTGATTAGGGTCCTCATAGGTGTGGGGGTCAATGTAGGTCCTTACTCCAGGCAGCTTAACTGCAAACACAAATTAAGAGCATTACCAGCACGCGGCATGACAGATGCTGGGCAATACCCACTCCTGGTCCATTGCACTCTGCTTTGCTGGAAAACATTGCAGAAGGGAAACCTGTTTCTACAGGAAAAATGAATAGCATTCTTGGAAAATGACATTTAGTTTATATGCAACATATGTGCAACTTCACTGTATTTAGAAAAGCATGCAACAGTGCTCAGCTGGAACGACAAATAGCTAAAAATTCCTCTTGGTGCTGTGTAATGGGCCGGTCCAAGGTCTGGTGCAAAAGGATCCCTTTGTGGACCTGGAACGGGTATGCCAGGAGGAAAGTATAAAAAGCAAAATCTTAAGGGTTCAACTTGCAAAGCAAGTTGGATGGATGGGGGCTGATGGAGAGCTGCAATAAATTATGCCCTACCAGTCAAATATTAGCTGATCAATTGGCCACGTTATTTCAGATAGAGTTACTGAGATTTAAATGAACAGAATATTTGCAGTACAAAGCCTGTGGGTTGTACCAGCGTAAACAAAATCGATAGCAGGCTTTTTCTGCAGGACTTGAGAGGGGAAAAAGTATTTTCATTATCTATATTATAAGTTTGTTTTCACAATCATTAAGGCTACTCACATGAAGGACTGCTCATCAGTCTAATAAGACAGCTATGTTACAGTGTGGCTCTTAATTGATTTGCTTCCTGCCGCCTTCATTATATAGCACTAATGGAAATTTGACTTTCACTCAAGATGCGTTTGCCTTTTCCACCCCAAAAGGCACTTCGTTGTTACACATCTCCAGATCCCGCAGCACTTGACAAAGGAAGGTTTTTCAAACACTGGCTTTGGATGTATGCAAAAACTGATAGTAACCCTGAGATGTACTTACTAGCATCACCGCAGACGTTTTTTTGTATATAAGAGCATTAACATAGCATTTCTGAAAGCTTCCTAGAGGCAAGAAGTAGGTGTTATTCCTTACACCTCTGCAGAGGCATTCAAGGCAAACAGTAGCTGTGGGACTGGTCCTCACGGCTGGCTGGGGTGGAGCAAGGGTTCAAACAGGTATTCTGGACTGATGCATCCAGACCATAAAAATGGAGAGTTGTTATGTGCTGGCCAAGCAAAATTAATACACCTTGGGTCACACAGCAAAGACAGAGGAACAGAACCAAATGGCTCGCTAGAGAGATCTGCTGCAAACATACAGGTGTGCACATGGAAGGACTGTTCAAAGGTTCGGTTCTCCATGAGGCTTGGAGCAGGGACAGGAGGGGACTTACTGAATAACAGAATAAACTGAATTCTTCTGTGAACGACCAGCAAAACCATATTTTAGTTTTTATTAAAAAAAACCAACCCAAACTCTCAACTTGTATTTCTCATTACCACAGAGAGCCAGAAACACATATATACATGTTTGATCTTTACTCACTGTGGCCATTATGAAAATGCATCTTTTCTTCTTCTGGATCTTGTTTAGCCTTGCTATAGCCACATCGCCTGCAAAAAAAAAAACAAACAGAAGAGCGTTTTTGTCTCTGGTATGGCAGAACCCTGCTCTTTACTTCAAATCACACAAAACACAAAACCCCAGAGCAGCGACGAATCCAACCTCTCTAGCGGCTGCATCGCTGCTGTCCCAGTTTTAGCTCATCAAACTACTTGCAATTTCCCTAACGGGATTCAGGGCCCAAGGCCCACTGATTTTGAATTGGACTTGTGCTTGCGAATCCCACAGATGCTTGTGAAAAACTCCACTCTACCATACATGTAATTTAGCTATTATTAAGAAGAAAAAAAAAGGCAAGAACGGGAAGGACGATGGAAGGGGAATGGGATGAAACATTAGAATCGCAGAAGCAAGATCTCCTGGATTGCAGAGCTTTTGCAGGCACCATGTTGTATGTATTGCATGCTCCCCTTCACCCACTGGGCATTTGCACAGAACTTTAAATTTTGATACGTTAGAAAATAGCCTTGTGTAAACATTAACACCTTATACACATGCAAAATGATGGGTTAAAAACCCTCAAAACCTCTTGCCTCACTGCCTTCAAGGGTCTTCTCTGTATTCCTGGCTGACGGGGTTTCCTGCACATCTCCTGTCTTTACCCAGGGGAGCTACCAACCATGCAATCACCTCAGCCCAGCAGCAATAAAGACAGAAAGTGGCACACAGTCACCTCCTGACCTATCTCGCTCCCATGTTAGCACCAGGCAGTGCAAGGATGCTGCCGAATCCCACCATGGAGTTGCAACCACAGCCATATGGGAGTCACATCTCCCCCAGGGCATACTCCTATTAGTCTTTGACTGCTCTTCCCTGACTCATCCCTCACCCTTCTCGATGGTTCTCCACGCGATGCTATTGCATTAGCATTAACTGTCTGCTTTGGTGGCATCACAGAGACCCGCTTCACTTACACAACCACTTAGGAAGCCACAGGATAACTGCATAGGCAAGGAGAACTGTTATATATACGCATAGTATATATACAAGTTTAAAAATATGGGATGAGGTATGTATGATGCACATATATATGCCAGTCTTTCCAAGACCCTGATATGACAACTGGATACAGGGATGGATCACCCTTAAAGCAAACTGCATGGACATGAGACAGAAGGACACTGCTCAGTGAAAAACCTGACATGGACACAGCCAGTGCACAACGAGATGCTAGCTGGCATCCCTCAGAGAAAGCCTCAGGTTACCAAGGAGCCACTTAAAGCTGAGAAACTTGGAGTCTTCTCTTCTGTTGCCCACGATTTTTGAGATAGGGAGATGTGAGAACTCCAGCATCACTCACAGCAAGGAGGAGCATACGATTAGCAGAAACAAAACTGCAATTAGGAGGAGGCAGTAATAGGCATCTGCATGAAACATGCCCTCAGCATGAAGTCCTATTACAGGGAACTGCTGTCTGCCTGGTTGCAAGGGGCCAAGCAGCCTTTTGGCTATAGGATTTTGGCACTAGATTTGTGAAACGATCATGATTACAAACAAAAGCCCCAGTACAATGGGACGCATGCACCGCTGCTGAGCTGACCCCAGCAGAGCTGGACACCAAAGGGTCAAGGAGGGGAAAAGCAACATGAGCTCCCAGAGTTACTCCATGGAACCGGAGCAGGCATGCAAGCTTACCTTGGGGAGAAGGGGAGACCTGTGCTAAGGGGAGAGGAGGAAAAAATAGACTGCAAAGGTTGTGCAAGCGCAGGGGAATGGATTGAGACAAGGTGCAGAAGACAAGGGGGGAGGCTGACAGGAGATCCCGGGGCACAGGCAGGGAGATAAACAGGTCACAGTTGATAAACAGCCAGGCTATCCATGCAGGGTGCAATTTCAGCAGCAGCGACCAAGCTGAGACCATCATGCTCTGAATGCAAAACCCACGAGAGCAGCAATGAGGTGCCCGGAGACACAGCTCAGTTATCTGCATGTTGATGCTCACTGCCTTACTCTAGCAGCAGCAGTGCCATTTCTTGAGATGGGGTCCTGCCTAATTAGCTTAAAAACTAAGTACTAGGTGTACGCAGAGACCCTGGGAGTAAGAGTCATTTCAAAGTACGTTTTAGCATTCACAATCCCTGGGTGAAAATGGATTCTCCTCCTTCTTTGTCATATTGCCTCTCTCTTTAAGTATCTAAACTAGACATATGAATATCAGCATCAATTCCCACTTCTGGCAACCCCATTTTTTTCTGCTGCAAGTTGCCAAAAGTTACATCAGTTTTCTGCAGAAGTGATTTTCTGGATTAAGGGGTATAACCCAATTTTCCTCTTAAAAATACAACGTTTCATTTCATCCTTCTACCAAATGCACATATACAAGATTTCTTCTGTCCACCTTTTAGAGCAAATGCCCTCATCTCTTCCTCAACTTTGGAGTACTGCACCTATAAAAAAGCTTTTCTAACATTATCCTTTTTACTACCCACACCTCCTGATTCACTGACCATAAAGAGGGAGGAGAGAGAAATGGGAAACATGTTGTTGCTTGCATCCAGTGATCCAAGTACATCTTGATGCACAACAGTCCATGTTTCACCGCCCAGGGACACACTCAAAGGGCCAACGCAAACCAATTGGCTCCGGCTGTCCTCCTCTCTTGAGCTGACTAACACATACAGCAGCACGTCACATTAGCATACAAAATCAGGCTCTGGGACCCCCAAAGCATCGTTAAAACAAGCCTCGACAAGACATGCCAAAGTGAAATGGCAGCTACTGGACTGCAACTGTCAAGCAACAGTTGGGCATCAATAACAATATTTGCTGCAAAACCTGCCTGCTGCAATCACTCGTGCCCTTTGCACACTCGCTTTCTTAAACTACGCAGAGAAACAAGCCACGTACACGCTGACAGAGGCTAAACTGCACTTCTTCCCTCCTTGACCTTCAGATGCTTTAAATAAGACACACAAGCATTTTTTTCCTCCTTTCTTCCCCAACTAAATCCCATAAAAACCTGCTACTTCAGGTTAACAGTCCTGATTCACTACGTGAATGTTACTGGCAGATAAAAGTATCTAAATTTTGTGGCTTTGCAACATATTTTGGGGAAAGAAAAAGCTCCCACTCGTTTGTGAGATAATCCATTTCTGCATGTGCATTTGCTCTTAATATTTATTGGAAAAGCTGTGAGTCAAAAGCCTCCTGATGGAAGACTCATTCTCTAGTTTATTGTCATTGTACAAACCATAGATTTCCTATATCTTTTCCATATCACATACAGCAAAAGCATAAAGATCTTGACACTCGTTTCATCTCCCACTGAGCTGGAGACACTCAGCCAAAGAGTTAACATAATTCTGCAGTGCACCTGAATCTCAACTCATTTACTCCTGTTGTGGATTTGTCCCAGTTTCTGTATCTAGAAAGCAGATGTCTTCCTTGCACAGCTCTGTGTTTTTCAATAAAAGTATCAGAGGAAAAAAAAAAAGTGAGACTTTAAATATTCTTAAGGCATCATGTCTTATTTAAAAACTACTTGCAGATTGGCAGGCAGCTTGTAAAATATTTATGGGGCAGATTATAAAAGTGAAGTTGTAAAATGATCCCTATATAGGTTTATAAAATATAAAATGGACAGGTAGAAAGATGAAGAATCCAGCTGGGAAACCAATGCCCACTGCCTCTCATGACAGAAGGCAATTCACGGAGAAAAATCCTTCAAGAAACAAGGCAGGAAGATGCTTGCTCTCCCTGGACCAATGGAAATACTTTGTGTTTGACCCTGTGCTTCAAAACGCCCTTGCTGAGTGGTGTGTGGCCCCTCAGCGATCCAAGGCATCCCCAAAAACCACAGAATGCCCAAGGGAAGGAGTTTCCACCTCCTAGCTGGGGCCACCACTCTGGTCACAACCCAGGCAGGACACAGCCAGAGGACTGTGGAGCTGGACCTTGGACATCCAAGCCCTAGGCAGTGATGTGGGAGAGCCTTTGTATACCTTTTTATAGCCACAGGCCCAAGCATTTCAGCACACAGCCAAGGCATTACTGGAAATGCACATGGGGACAGCATATAGACATCCCCAATGAGGCAGGGGATCTCACCTTGCTAGGTGCAGTCAGTACTATCAAACGACTTCTGCCCTGAAGCAGCATGCAATCTCCCGTCCCAGTCCTGCAGACTTATACATGTATTCAATTGCTTAAATAGGAGATAAATGAACTCTGTGAGCTTCTTGAAACAGACAAAACGCCACTTGCTTTTCAGGGGTGAGACCTTCACTCAGAAGCACATCTTTTACAAGAAAGCAACTTTGAGGAATGCATCCAACCCATCTTGAGCTGTCATTTTACAGGAGGTTTGCGAGAACCGCAAGGTTGTTGTTTACAAGGGTTAAGTGCTCATTTCAGACTATTTTTTCCAGTATGTTAAAGTAATAAGGCTGCATACGTGTTACAGGGCAGGCAGGACTGTGCTCCATCCAGAGGAACAAACAAACAAGGATCCATCCCTCTAGCCAAGATCCTGTTGCCTCAGCTCATGTGTGGAGACAATAACTTGTTCCGCAAATAGTTTTATCCTGGATCAACACCACTGATACTGAGAGCCAGAGGCAAAAGTCTACCCCTAGTGACGTTGGTCAGCATTCACCTTTGCTGCTTGCAATCCTAGAATATATTCAGGTACCACAAAACCAGGGAATACTCAAGGGACTGGTGTGCAACGAACAGCTTTTATACTGGAAGTTGTTTCCTGTTTTTCTGTTCCCTTTCCTCCTGCTTTTTTGATGTCTATAATGAGTTACTTCCATTGCACTGAAACAAACTTTCACCTGCAGTAACTTGGAGCAACCCATGCAGGCTGGGAATCTGACTCATTCAACTCCTCTATCTACTCTCAAAATCCTGTAATTTGGAGAACAGGATCAAAAGAGCAGTAAAAGGTCGAGAGATGACAAGCTAAGACCTTCAGCTCAATTCAAAGATACACCAGACGACCGGTCTGAAAGGAAGGGAACCTGCCCTGGTTCCTAAGGGCTGCAGGCTCACGGTCTTCTCAGCTGCTTTCCCAGTCACTGCTGTCCCCCTCTACACAGTGCGATCCTGCCTTTGACCTCTGATTAACTTGGATGCCTTACGCAGGAAGTTTCACAGTTCCAGTGGTGGTATTTTGAGCCGTTAGTCTTTCCCTGTCTTCACACTGAATGACTCCCTGCTTTCCTAAACCACCACCAGAACAATTAAAAATAATTTAAACAAGATACCATTTCCCCCTCTCACAGGAAGCTCTCTCTGAAGTGATCTCCATAAATCTCTCTAAAGAGGTTGTTGTGCCTTCCCATAGCACAGCCGACGGCATCTGTGCCTTGAAGTCACTTTTCCCATTTCCCCCTCCCAGCTTGCTGCCACATTAGTCTCTCTGCAACTTAGGGGGAAAGTTGCAGAGGGTGTTTTCCAGGTCAGCCAAGTTTTCCCTATGTGTCTCTCTTCTTAGTACCTATCCAGTCCATTTCCAGTCTCTGAGAAGTATTTTCCATTGCTGCCACTCTCTAGTTGGGGGCCTTGCTGAGGACATTTGAAGCATGACTCCCAGCAAGGCACTGCTCAGGCACTGGTGGCACAGGCACGACAGACAACAGAAGTACTGAGAGGTCTTCTTTTAGCACAATTGTTGCCAAATTGGTGGCTTGCAGGAACAACCACACGCACCAGAACATTTTGCAGCCAAACACTTTGAGCTGAGCAGCCTTGCTTGCTAATGCTGCAACGCAAAGCACTCAAAAGTCATGAAAACCAACTTAAAAATGCTACCACAGGAACAAAGAAAAGCCTTCTGCTTTAGGGCCTTTGGGATTTGCATTTGCAAACCCCTCCCTGGTTCAGGCCTCTGTCAGAGCCAACATACAGCACCCAAAACCAGTCCACCCTGGTGACTGCTGGGCCCCACAGACAGGGATAACACCATGACGCTGCTACTACCGTGCAAAGCCTCAGCATCCCCCCAGAAAACAGAGTAGAAGAGTTTCACACCTCTCACCCAGCTACGCTGCAAAACCTTCCCAGTTTAACAACATACGTAGGATGTCTCAGAACTCCCATGGTCTCAAGCCGCTATCTGATGGGGATGGTGATTCCATGAGTCTTCTAGGAGGCTTAGGAAGATCTCTGCCTGTACAGATTACAGCCAATTCAGAGACCTAGAACACATTCCCTTCAGGCAGCAACTCAATTCGTGTCCAGTCAAACCAGCAGAAATTAAAATCACCCTTCCTTTGATTAGTTAGAAAAGAGGGGAGAGTACAAGAGAGCAGAAACTGATGAGGCAGCCCAGATGGTGGCAGAACGGGGCAGCATGCAGCACGGACACGCAGCTCTCGACGCCTGCAGAGATATGTCCAACGCTGCTGGAGCATATCGTTGGCAAACAGCATCATGTCGTTGCCGTGTATGTCATACATTGACATGTATGTCGATGACATACAGCTCGTTTCACTGACATGCACGTTACATGCCACTAGATACCTTTCCACTCCCGCCTGCCCCCCGCCTCCTTTCTGGGGGCAGATTACCTCCCCCAGCCCCTTTTGGTGACAAGAAGCAAACTTTGATGAAGTGTCCAGCATATATGATGGTTTATTATGACACATGACATTGCTGGTACGGTGTCTGGATCCATCACAGCATTACATATCAGGGTTTTTTTTCCCTGGGACCCCTGCTCTTCCTGAAGACACACTCTTTTTCGGGCCACGCTATTTCCAGTTGTTGAGATAGACAAGCTGGGTGCAGAGGTCGGATGAGAAAGCGATTTCCAGGCCAATACAAGAAAGGGAGGGAGAGGCAGACTGTGCACAGAAAACATGGAGGGAGGACACGAAATAGGAGCCAGCACGGGTGGGAACACTGACCATGTTAGGCTCGGATAGGCAACAGCACGCAGAGAAGAAGCCCACCCACAGCCATGATCGCAGCAACTGAAAAGCAAACAAAAAGGCCCAGGATAAGGAATAATCCCACCGCCCTGGCAAGGTGCAAATACATTTGCAACATTTTTATATGCACTTCTTCCTTCTTATTGCAATTATTATTTGGACCTTAACACCCTGGGCTGCAAAAAATTCATGGCACGTGCTACCGTTGGGAAAAAACGCCTTGGGGAGACAGTAGAGATCCTGGTCCTGCAAAGCAATTAACCATGTGCTTCCCATACCTGAGTACCACCGTTAGGATTAATGGGGCCACCCATGTGCTTAAACTTAAGCACCTGCCTTGGAGCAGGGAAAGTGACTTTTTCCACAAGTGTGTGTGGTACAGTTACAACTTCCTTTAAAAAAAGAAAAAGGCATTGGATGAATGTGAGTCCTGCTTTTGCAGACCCTCATGCATGTACTTAACACAGCCCTTTCTGGGTCTCCTTGTATCAGTGAAGCTTTGCACGCGCATCATGTATTTGCAGAAGTAGGACCTTATGAGTCATGTGAGAGTATTCAGCCTCAATAAACTCAAAACACGGTGAGTTGAAAGGCACTACATGCATCCACAGCTTGCTCTTGAAGGCTGCTGAGCCATTACTCTAGTCTAATCAGAGTACGGGTTCACCTGGCATCAGTCTGTAACCCGAGGCTGGCTACACCTCAGTAATTGCCCTTTATTCTTGTCAGAGAACTTGCATGGACATTTTTTCTGTTCCCAAATCTATTAAGGTAATTCATCCTGAAAAAGAACATAGTGCAGAAGAAACAACAGGAAGAACTTCAGTACGATATACAAGCAGGAGGCCAATGGTGCAGACATACTCCAGTTAAAGCCAGCTGAAGATCTCACTCATCATTTCTCCTCAAATCACCATAACATGTCAACCTTGAAAAAAAATTGTGCCCATCAGATTTTTATAAAGTATAACTTACTATGCCTAAACACATTAAAGTAGCCTAAACACATTAAAGTAGCCTATTTAGACAAAATTAACACTCTGCAACTGCACCGCCTTAAATTATGATGCAAAATAACTTCAGGCATGCAATGATTTAAAGAATTATATACTGGATTATGTGCTTACTTAAATTAGAACTGGTGAAGAGTCTCTCTCTAAGCTCCCTTTGCATCAGCAAAACAAGTTGCTAACATTTTCTAAACAGTGATGCCGATATTTTTTTACTATAATTGACAATATTTTGTATTTTCATAATGCCCTACCTTGTGCAGTCATACTAATATGGGAGCAGCTCAGCCTTCACTAAACCTCTCCATTGATCTAAGTTAACATCAGAGGTCCAAACCCCAAAATCAAACAAAGGGAACCCAAGCATTATATATTTTTAATCAAATTTGCCATTTTCTGGGTTTAACCTTGCAGGATTTGAGTCCAGGGAATTGGTACGTCTCCCATTTTAGCTAGGAGGCCCTTTCCCCCAGGCATTTTCTAAGTTGTTGCCTCCAGACCTTCCCACACCGATCAGCATGCAAAGTCAAGGTTTTTGAACCAACAGTTCAATTAACCTGAAAAGCAACCACTTCCTTAAAATGAAAGGAGTTTGCTGTTTTCCTAAACAAAGAAAACTCTTTGAGAACCTCATCAGCCACTGGGCTGCTCTGAGACAAAATCAGTTCCCTGCACTGAATGCAGAGTGTTTCAGATCTCACTTGTTCCCTTTATGGGGAGGAAAAAAATGCTCAAGTGCAATGGAAATATGCCTCAGTGCAGCCTTACTCCTGCACACCCCCCACATAACTCTGTGTGCTTAGGGGCAAAATTCTTTGAGGTGTAACATTAGGGGAAATCTAAAGCTTTTGGAAACGTACTAAACTGGATCAGCAGACAACAAAATTCACTTTCCAGTCCCAGGAGCACTTGGATAGGTAAGGGAATGGACTACTTCGCCTGAAGAGTTAGGACAAAGGACAAATTACTGCTCATGTTAAAAGGATGGCTTGATTTGGCAGCTAAACTAGAATATAAAAATACTGAGGCAAATAAAACTGGATGTTAAGCTCTAGCAAACCTGCCACACTCTCATAGCCACCACCTTTGGGTGATGATGACTTCTAGGAGGGGCGGTGTTTCCCCTTCTCCCCACTCCACACAGGGCTTTCTTGGTCTAGAAACTGAGGAGCTGAAAGCAAATGCTCTCCAGACGAGATCAAATGCGGTGGCAGGATAAGAAATTGCCACTCAATGAAATATGCCCAGACGTCTCTGGGGTTTTAAGATATTTAGCCAGCAAGCTGACCTGTATCAGGAAGCAGTCAGAGTTGAACCGAGCACTGTATACATCAAAATTATCTGCAAAGTCTCCTCCAGCCTCACTGAATCAACCAGCAGACTACAAGGAGAGCTTGTGGGGGCTGCCCCTGGCTCCACCAGGCAGTCAGGAGCTCCTCCGATCTGTTGCAGGGTAACAGATGACACGTACACGTAATGGTGAAGGTTACTGAGAAAAGACCTGCAGCATTAAATCCCCTTTGCTGGGAAAGAACAAGGCGCTGAGGCAGCGGCATCTCCAAAAGCCAAGCTGCTTGAAACAAGGTGTGACTTCTGCTTCAAGCCCTGGCTTCAAGCAACGGGCTGCAGATGGGGAGAGACAATGCAGAGGAGGCTGGAGTTGCAGCGGCACCTCCTAGACCTCTGTGGCCTGCTGGGACTGCCCTGCTTCTTGGCTAGACCAACTCTACCACTTTTGGTTATCTCAGGCACACACAGCTGACACTCCTCCAGCTCTAGCAAAGGTGACCCCTGCAACGCCTGTGGGGTTTGCAAACTCAACTGCCCAGAGAGCAAACTTTAATAAACCTGTGCTAGAAGGACTTATCAACACCCTTGGCATCATTTCAAACCCTGGGCTACATGTTTTGTTAATGAAATGTATATATATGATGGGCCCCAACAACTCTGCCTGCCATCAATGTAATTAATTTACCACAAGTCTGCAGATGACCCAGAGAGCATTCGGAATTAAACTACATTTCTAGAGGCTAGATAGATCTCAGAGAGGCTCTGCCATATATAGCTGTGGCTTTTAAGAGTTGTAAGTTGAAGACTTGGAGTCATGATAAATGAAAGCCTCGTTTGTTGCTTTTAATAAGCTGCTCTAATGGGATGTTCTTCAGAGGCTTGCAATTAGAGACTGAAATACTTGAGGGTGCCTGGGAAGATTTTTCTACTCCTTCACGCAGCCTTGAGCGATGGCAATGATTGCTTCCTGCACCTCCAGGTCAGGAGGCCAGCACCACACCTTGCACCTTGTGAGTCAACATGCTTGCTTCAAACATCAGAGGAGCAGCATTACACACTGTGAGCTGCTAGGAACGTATTCCTATTTT